GGCTCTGCTCCTGCCAAGCTGGGCCATTGAGAGAAGCCTCTTTTCCTCATCCTCACCCTTCTCCCTCCCTCTCTCTCTGTCTGTGAGCAGAGGAAATCCTGTCTCACCCTGCTTGTATGTACACTGCCTTGCAAAACATGGTCTTGATCACAACTGTGGTTTCCAGGCTTTATTACAGGGCATAGAAACAATGGGAGCTTTATTACCCTGAATGTATCATTTTTGTTTGAATGCTCCCTCAGCATGGTGTTCTGACTCCAGGCTTGCTGAAAGAGGCTCACACAGTAATTAAAAGATTTCTAATATTACTAATGCTGTTCAAAGCATAATTCCACATCAAAACTCTGCTGGGCTTTTGGGGCCATTTAAACATCCAAGTTTTATCCCACTTCAAATTCAGCTTCTGAGCCTCCCCTCTACAGCGGATCAAACCCAAGGCCTAAATCCAACCATACTCTGAATGAAGCTCCAGATTGTATAGCTTCAAGTCCTCTTCCTATGTGTGAAATTGTGTGCTGTACTTCTTTGTAGAACAGAAGTCCTTGGTCAAGTGCTTTTGTGCTATATCATGCAGAAATGCAATAAAAACAACTTTTCTAGTTAGTTTATAATCTGTGTTTATTACAACTCCAATATTTCATACCCTGGAGATAAAACTGGTAAATCTCACTTCCCAATAGAAGTTTATCCCAACTAGAACTGAGCAAGAAAGTCACTCTGTGACCCAGCATATGGTTCTCACCAGAGAACTGCATCACTTTCTACAAACTAGGGTACCACTTTGCTTTCTCCCTCTTTCAGAGACAGGAAAGACAAGCTGCAGCTCTCAAAATCAAGTTAAAATCATTTTGCCCACCTCCTGCAGATTAAAAAAAAAATAAAAATCTGCTAATTACCACACTGAGGATCTGACTTTTATAAAAGCTCAGTTCCTATTTTGGCACAGAGCTAATTGGTTAGAAGTTATAAGAACTATCTACACTGACTATTGGTCTCTTTCAAAATCTGTCACAGTGGGAGATGCTAGTTTGTGAGTACTTGTGAAAATCTGCCCTCACATCAACAATATTATTAAAAGATTTTGCATATGGTGCTTAGCTCTGGTGAGGGTCTGAATATGGCTGTTTACTGTCAAAATCAGAGGTTTTCTCAGTGGAAATCTAAGGTTTGAGTCAGGTGTAGTACAGTCTTTGGAGGTTTTTCACATCAGTGCTCTAGCAGGTAGGATACTGTTTCTTTTCTCCATTGTCTCAAACCAGTTTCTTTTTAACACAGGGAAAACTTTTCTTGGCATTCCATCTAGCCTTCATAAGTCAGGAAGAGTTGACTGTGTTGCATTTTCACTGCATTAATTCTGTCAATCTAATATGAGAAAATTAAATCAAATTTGCTGGTAAACATACCTAGGGCACACAGAAAACAGCTCTACCAAGTTACAAGCATGTCATTTCTAATGAGTCTTCTGACTATGCATACTCTGTGTGTCCTCTCCATTTCACAGTCCAAGAGTGAGAGTTGTCTTTTCCACAGGGAAACTGGCATTTCATTTGTGGCAGCAAGAGGTTGTTTCCAAAGAGTAACAAGAAAAGCCAGTTTATCTGTGCTATGGTCAATGTATCATCCTCACATTTTTGAGCCATTTTTTGAGAATGATGAATTGTAGTCATCACCGCATTCAATTAATTTTACTCAGCTGGTTTTTATAGTGTGTTTGTACCAAGTGTCCTCTAACAGCTGATAAATCATCCCTGAGTTGCTGCAGAGGTAGTGGCAGTGACATACACTGGGCTGACGACAGGAATGTGTCACACCGTGTCTCTTGCCCTCTTTTTCCGGAAAGATTTTTGTGACCTTTGGTGGCATTTGGAAGAAGCTCTATTGATCTCTGTGTAGTATTAATCTTAAACAAACAGGCCATATAATTTATGTAAACTCCACAGGTAATTAAATTCCTTCCAGCAAAGGTCAGGGCAGAATATTTAAGATTTCATTTGAATAGAAATTACAGTTAGAAGTGAAGGGGGGGAGGAAGAGGGAAAAGAAGAAATTTGGAGCTTGTCATATCAATTATTACAGTGTAACTAAGAGGACTCAAGTTACTTCTCAAGTGCTAACACCCAGTCTTCATCATATGTACACACAGTTTGGAAATGTTTGTCTAGAATGACTTATAAATGATTTTAAGAAATGTTCAAATATTTCTAATAGACAGTGAACAGAAATATCACCTTTCTTCCAAGAGATCTGAGACTGTCATTCATAAATGAACAAGCCCTAAACTCACAAACCTGTCTTTGTAATTGGCCATGACTGCAGTATCCACTCTTCCTTCTCCAAGATCTCAAGGACCATGGAAAGTATTATTTTTCTGTTTACCTTCCAATTTCACAAATCTTTGGACTTCAGTGTTCAAGCTTGTCTTCCATCCATTTTAATTGGGCAAGTCCAGATGTTCATATCAAATCCATGGCTTCTGAGCAAGGACATTGAACAGCATGACTACAGCATGATAAAATTTTGTGCTTTGAATATTGTCTTTTTTTTGCTCAATAGTCCCAAATTATCAGAATGTGGTGCCATGCTTGGGAAAGACTTGCATAATTTCTACTACTTACCTGATGAAACAGTCTTTCTCTGAACACAGCAGAGGATTGTCACAAGGCTGAAAGAGGACCCAGGATGGGGACAGAGACATTCAGTGGGTGAAAACCTTGGAGCAACCCAGTCTGTGGAGATGGTTTCAGCAAGAGTCACAGTGACTTTCCCCTTTAGCTGAGAAGAGCCTACATTCACAGGGATGTCTGGGGTGTAAAATAGTCACAGAATAGTATAAGTGGTATAGGTAGGATTTTTCACAGAAACTCTTTATTGTCTTTTCCCCCTCATTGAACGGCCTGTTAAGGTTGTCATGAAAGGGAGAAATGGCTGGCCATCACTGAGAAATGTAATCCTGGTGTCAGTGCTATGACATTGCTCTGTACACAGTAATTTGTGGAAATTATTGTGTAAAATAAAAGCACTTGCCCCTATTCAGCAAGTGGTGACCACTAGGAGTTCAGAAGCAAAGAACACCAACAGCTGCATCTTAAGCACTGGCCACCTAGCTGCTCTGAGGTCGCTGCAGCATCTGTTGCTGCTGCAGGTCTTGCTGCAGACCTCTCCCATCACAGTACCATCTGCCTCACCAGCTTTGTAGCAGCATCTTCTGTCTTGCAGCTTGCTGCCCTTGCTCAGAGGCCCATATGCCTCTGTACTGCCTGTCTCTGTTTCTGATATGATTGAAATCACATCTGCTCCACCACTGACTGCTGCTTTCATTATGGCTGTAATGTCATCCACCCTCTCACATTCTGCTGTTGTTTCTGCTATAATGACACTAACATCTGACTTGAATTTTGACACAGTTGCTTAAAACATCTGCCTCTGTGCGTACTTGAGGACACAGGTGTAGCTGGGCTGATGTGAACTTAAGATTCACCTAAACATGTTTTCTCTACCACTGGCCATCTCCACACACTAACGGGGACCCTATTGTAGGCACTCTACGATAGGCAGATGTGGGAAGATTGCTGATGATCTTTGCCTGCTCCTGCAGTTGGTGCAGCAACTATAGTGTTAGCTGGGATTTGGGAGAACGGGGTTCAGATTTCTGCTTCACAACCAATTCACCAACTAAGTTCAAAAAGATTATTTAGGCATAGATCTGTTGTGGAGTTTTACACTTCAAGTTACAGTTGCCAGTTTTCCAGTGGTTTGTTTTCACCATGGAAAAAACCTAAGTGTCCTTGTCTTCAAGTTCCCCATGCAATGGATGAGGAAAGTTACAAGAATTTTCAGGAATTTTACAGGAATTTTCTCAAAAGTTACACCACTGAGAAAAGGCTTCACAGGAAATGGAAATGACATGGGCACCTCCGTTGGTGTAAGATTCATAGTCTGAAACCATCCCCGAGAGGAGTGTGCTTGTTTCTTTTCAAAATGAAAGTCGGCCCAGTCCTTCTTCCTAAACCACAGCTGACGTGTAGCAGCAAGTTCTCACGTTCCCCCCTGCGTGCAATGGCAGCACTGAAAACAAGTAACAGAAGGATGAGGATTCAGTGGGTTTGGGCTGTGAGTTTGAAATAATGCCCCCTCCACCAGAAGGTTGCCGCAAAATCACTAAAGAGGTGGCTGTATGTGGGGAATGTTCTCTTCTACAAGCTCTGCATACAGTGCTCAAAAATTGAATACAGAGGAGGGAAAAGAGAGATGGACCACTCATAAGCAGTGAAGAAGTCTGAGCTGAGGTGTTTATCATCTGCTATGGCTCCCACAAGTAGCAATGGAGATATTTAAGTAGAACAACATCTTGAGGTCAAAAAAAAAAAAAAAATAGAAACAGAAAAAGAACTAGCACTGTAGCTCTGCTCCGTAGAAAGACTATTTTTGCAAGACATGGAACAGAATTATCCGGTGAAATCCTATTTTTGGTTATTCAATGTGTTCACAGGTTTTCCCAGTAAATCTCTGCCATGTAGTAAACTCCCCTGCTTACTCACAGAAGTACAGAAACAAATTGAACATTCTCATTTTCTTGTAAGTAATCATACTTCCAGGCCAAAAGCTCAGCCCCTTGCACGTGCCCCTCACACCTGTATTCACTGACTTATGCTGGCACACCCAATATTCTTTATTGCAGGCTTCAACCCAAAAGCCATATAGCCATGTTGGCATGCTCTGCTGGAGCAGTAAGTCACTCTGGTTGAGCCAATAAGCCCTGAGAAGAGGCTGGGCTCCTCAGCTCAAGCACAGCACTTGCAAATATATTGATTTGGGTTCAGGCTCCTGGGTTTATAGCTCCTAATGTGTCATTTAGTTATACAAATCTATACAAGTCTGTCCTGGGATATTTGTATGGCTTCTCTGTCTCCTGATTAGTGTAATACCCCGGCATATAATAGATATCTCCTTCCCTTCCTTCTCCCTTTCCCTCCCCCCTCCCTCTCCTCTCCTTTTTACAGTTATATTCCCAGCTCCCTGTGGATGTTTCATTACACTGCACTACTCTGTCCCCTCCACTGCAGCATGCAATGTGGGAAATTTTGGATGTCGCAGTCTGACACTGATGAGTCAGGAAGCCCTGTGTTTGCTGAGCTCAATGCATTTCAGTATTCTCCTCGAGCGCAGCAGGCTCTGTCTGCATGCTCACATTTCAGTAAGTGTGTAACATTTACAGAATCAGGAGTCCAATCTGCCATCGAAATGATCTGCACAAGCAGCTGGTCTTATGCCTGTCTAGTCAAACTAGACCAAACCTCTGAACCTTTTGAGGTTCGCTCATCGCCAATAATTAATGTCTGACTTTGATAAAGCTGACATTTGGTTTATAAAGGCAGACTAATAAGCTCTGAGAAGGCTTAGAAATCCTATAGAGTAATGTGTTGCATTACAAATCTTAAAAATTACTGTAAAAATTAACATAATCTACTGCTGGGCACGTTAGTATATTAATGTGATTGGAAGCGTGACCTCTTTTTGCTAACTTTCCAACTGACCCTGATAAATCTGTGACATTTCTAGATATGTTACAGATAACTATTTTTCAACATATTTGTAAAAATATAAGATACAGAGAATGTAGATATAAAAAAATACTGTATTTTAAGGTCTTTTAAAATTTCTCTTACAGGCTTTTCTCTTACAGAAATGTCTTTTGCATTTAATGAGTAGCCCAATGTTTACATGTTTCAGGCAACTGGTTTTGTCTGGGTTTTTTTTCTCTGGCTTTTGAGGCAGATGTTATCTTTATGGTTAAAGAGGTTTGGGCCTCCCTCAGTGATATTTAAAGGGACCCAAAGCCTACTAATTTTAATTTCAGTGGCTTCAGCTAGCAAGTAGTAGGAGTTACTGACCTTGAGATGACATGAATGAAAGGACAAAGTATGATGGGGAGTTCGTCACATCAGTCTGTGTCTTGGTTGGACAGTAGCTGTGATGTACATCTGAGACTTTTAGATGTGGCATTTCCTTCCCCTGCTCTGAGGATGGACATCATCTGGAGGACACTGATGCAGTAGAGGATAACATACCCGGTCACTTACACAAGAGGAAGAAAAAGAGGAAGAAGAAAGAAAGAAGATGACATGAAAAGAAGTAAGCAATGTGCTTTCTGATGTCTTCATGTTCTCCTGAATCAGGGTGAAAGGTTTATTTCCAATTCTTAAACTACTTGGGAGCACAGCATTAAAGCTAGATGTAGTATTAATGATAAATGTTAGCTCTCACCATTCACTAAAGCGTTTCTTCCTGTCCCTTATTTACTCCTTGCCTTCTGAGAGTGTGGGAGTCCATCTTTCATTCAATTATGGGTCTTCATCAGCGTGTAGTGATTGCCCTCTTCACCAAATATTCTAAGTGTCTCACTATGCCTTAAATGGATCAAAGACAATTTTCCCCATTTTCCGTGTTCTGAAATGGCTGTCGAGGAGCATAGGAGGAGTGTGTCCCAGCTCCTCCCGATCAGGCAGCAATTAACATACCAAGGACCATGGCACACAGAACCTAGAGAATGTGTGAAATCTGAAAAAAACATGGACTAAGGAGCAGAGGAAGTAGAGGGGGTAATGAAGAAAGGCAAAGTCACAATAGAAAGGAGTTCTTAAGCTTCTTAGAAATATACATTGCATTCACCAAATTATATTGGGTGAAAAAAAACCAGAGAGAATTTTTTAAATTTAAAATATTTTGCTTTGACAGTCTTAACACATACACATGTTTTGGCAGAAAAAAAGTCTATCAGCCTGAACTGCATTTTTCCTGATGCACTTTTTCCTCAGATGAGCTACTGAAGAGGAAAAAAAGATAAATTTCTTCCTGCAGGTCTAGGCTACTCAAGCTGCAGGGAGTTGAAGGTGTACATCTCCGTTTTGACATCCTGGATATTCCCCAAACATGCTGGGCTGACTTAGTGGCCATCTGTCTGAATTGACTGTGTTGTCCCCGGCTCAAATGACCACCCAGCCTGAACTGTGCAAGGGGGGGCTGCCTGGCTGCGGTTAGTTTCTTCCCCAAATAGCTCTAAAGTGTGGCTTGCTGTGTGCTTTAAGTAAAATTATGCTACTGTTCAGTCCTCCACTTGATTAAAATGTATCTTTCAGCATTTAAGGGTGGGCAGTGACTTCCTGGGATTAGAAAGGGAAGTGAACTGGCAGAAAAGCAGCAAGGAAAGAAGTTGTTTACGAGTAGTGTGAGGGCAGAGTAGTCTGTGTTGCTGAAATCTGGGTTTTGGCCACATTACTCAACTCCAGTTACAGATCTGCTAAATTCACTCAGAGTCCCGTTTTCTTTCTTAATAGTACACACAGGGACATTTTTACCAGAAGAATGATTCATCTGCTGTGGTATTCCAGATAAATTTCAGGAGAGCAAGGCTCCCTTGGGCTGACAGTGTGATCATTTGCCGCAGGACAAATGCCCTCACAGCCTGTCAAGTTGGCTGAACACAGGATTCTCAAGATTTGGACTTTTTCAACATGTAAGATTTCACTCAACATAACAATTTTTCTTCCCATAACAAATGTTTTGAACAGTTTTGGAAGTCCTTGCGTTCTCACGATTGCAGCAGTGTGCCATTCTCCCTGGGCTCCAGCTGCTGACAGAGAAGCTCCATGCAGGGATGCTTGTCAAGGAGAGGCATCAATATCCACGGGAAGTACAAGTATTATAAACTCGTCAATATAGTCACTACTTAACAGGTCTGTGTGAAATAATTTATAGAAATGGAAGACTTGGCTGTTTTCAAGGCACAAGGGCTGCAGTGGCTGTCAGCTTAATGAAAAAGTGTCGCTCTAGTCTCTGTTTCTGTTTCAAAAAGAAGTAAATTGATAAAACAAACCTATTTCAAGTCTTTTAATAAGGAATTGTTTAAAGCGGTCAAAACATTTGCTTCCTGAAAAAGATAAGAGCTGATTTTTTTTTTTTTTAATAAATATGTGTGTATATGGCTTAGGATGTGAAAACAAGGTCTTTGCAACCTTCAGAGTCTCTGGAGTGGAGGTAACACCTCCTTACAAGTAGAAGCCAGGACTTCTGGGGTTTGGCCCAGGCTATGATACTGACTTGTTTTCTGCCAGTAACAATTGATATAATTTTATTTTTTCTGTCAGATGAGTAAGATAACATTCTCAGATGCATTGGAATCTAATCAATTTTTCTAAAACATCTAAAGATCTTTGGATGGAAAAGAGTGTCTGTACATACTGAGTCTATAATTTATGAAATTTTGGGTCTGTATATTTTCTGGCTCAATATATTTGCATCTTAACATCAAGAAATAAAATCAAGAACACACCAGTTGAAAAAAAAATAAAATTGAGTTTGAGCTTGAACTAGCTTTCCTCCTGTACTATTTTGATCCTCACTAGTGCTGTGCCCTATTGACTGGCTTTTTTTTTTTTTCTGAATATTGAGAAAATACCCAGCTGATTTTAATGGACACAGAATAAGAAACGGAAATATCACTTTTTTGATGTAAATTAGTTATTTTCTTATGCTGAAGAAGCAGCTTAGTTTGATGGCAGTGGCTTCTGTTGTATTAATATTCCTTCACTGATCTCATCAGGGTGCCAGATGAACTATCCTTACAGGACTTGAACCAGCTGGGTCCAAAATTAATGAGGAAAGGGATGTGTTAATTGTAGCAAGTGTTCAGAAACCAGTGCTTCAAAGCCAATTCAGCCAGACCAGACTGAGTCTCACTGTGCACTGTTTTCACATGATCTTTTATATCTTTTGAACAAAAAGTCTACATGGAAACACAGAAATTTCACTGAAGAAGTTATTTCTGCCTTCAGCCAGGAGCACTGTGACCTGCCATCTTCCTCTTATGGGTGGAAGACTGAATGATTAATCTTATCAACTGCTGGTTTATTTTATTTTACAGCAATAAGGTGAATTGACTCCAGATTGGAGCATGGGGATTTTCAATTATTTGCTGTGAGCCAGTCTCCTTCAGCTTGGACTTGGTGTTTTTTTAGCTCTCTAAGGGAAATATCTCTCTCCTGAAGGTCTATATTGCTGTAAGTTGTAGGGGTTGCACTGACATTCTGGTGATTATTGCAGCGAATTTCTTGTTCTCTTAGGTTTTCCATTTGATACTGCTCATTTTGCTTCTTTTATTCTGACAAGTGTGGTGATGTTCATGTGAATTTTTAAGCTTTTGCTCAGACACAGGGTGGAAACTGATGGTTCTCAGACATGCAAGCCATTTTGCCTCTTTTACAGGCTCTGCTAGAGCATTCACTAATTGCTGGAGGGAATTAAATTTTGAGGGAAAAATTTTTGGCATCAGATAGGCCCTAGAAAGAATTTTGGCACAAAGTCTTTTTGTTGTAAGCTAGAAAGTCATTCAAACGTTAGAGGTTGCTGTCAGTAACCCTTGTTGTAGCCCACCAGAGTGAGAGTTCTGTGAAGAAGGTCTCTGTCATCCTGGGACTCTCCTTTAGCAGCTTCTGCTATGAAGAAAACAGAGTGCTTATTGCTGCCAGCCACTGTGGAGATGTGAAAAGGGAAATATCTTCTCAGCAGTTTCCAGTTTTTATTGAAGAGTTAACCAAGGTGTTAACACCCTTCACAGGTGTTTCTTCATAGAGAAGGCAGTAACGAATCAGATATTTCTAAGACTAGGTTAAGTAGTAGTTAAATGCACTTAAAATCCCTTTGAATCTCTTTGAAATTAATCAATAATTCTGTTAACTCTCTGAGGTTTATCAAAAATAAGAAATCAAAAGAAATCATAGTTTCAAACAGAGCTTATTTGATACGTGTATGTGAAATTTGGTCATTCTTTTCACAAAAGTAAACATTATGTGAAGGATGTTGTGATCTCAGAAGAGTTTTTAAGATAACACCAGAAGTTATTTGGACAGTTATGTTTTCTGACGTTTCCTAAAATCCACAACTATGATTATCCTCACTAAGAGTCCTTTCCTTTTCATTTGTAGTAGTGCTCACTAGAGTCTTTTTACAGACTAGGTTTACCAACTGTGTCAATTCTGTGGTTATATCAGTTTTCTTTGAGTTGCCTGTATAATGCACACTCTAAATATTAGTTAAGAATAAAAAACTTCTTAATTGATTTTATAATTTTTGTCAGGAACTTATAGTTGTGAGCTAATAATAAACAGGTTCACAACTATCATCTTTATCTATGTCATCATTTGCCCTCTAGAATTTAAATCTGTGTTTCATTGCTCAGTGTTCAAGATCTTAATTTTTATATAGATTTTTACCCATCCTATTTGTATACAAATAAAGATCAGTTCGCATTACATACCCACTTCCACTCTGGACTGGAACACCTAGAACATTATCAATATTACATTTCTAATCATCAGCTAGTTGAAACTGGGAGAAGAAAAGGTTTGTTTCCATCATGTCATCCCATTCCTGTTTTACCAGTCAACATCTCAGGTATAGTTGTGATAAGATTAGTTCAAAGCATGAAGAACTTCAACAACGCAAGTTTAGTAGTTATCAAGTATTGATAAAGGAATTAAAACTGACAAAGTTTCAGCTGAAAATCTGGCACACAATGGGAACTTGTATCGGCCTCCTGGGTTTTTCAACTCCGAGATTCCTGTTGTAGGCAGGAATTGGGATTTATCAAAGGATCTGGGAACGAAGCAACTCCATCAAAGATTATGCAATCTTTGCATGAGGGCAGCATGCTTTTTGTTTAATTCACATCTGTGATGACATTTCCATGACAGACACCATAATTAATGGTTGTAAACCTGGAATAGATCCTGAGTTGCACCAAACTCCACAGTTTGGTGTAACAAATTCATGGTCAAGGCTGACTGAGAAAAGCTGACATGAGAAAGATGTAATTAAAATAAACAGAATATTTCCTATGCAGTGGCTTCCCAAATGTTCCATAGCTTTTGGAATCAACCTCGTTATACCTCATATAGCAGATTTGCATCCACAAAAGATCATTTTCTGCCAGGTAACTGTGCCCCTATACAAAGTGTCCACTTCAACCTTGTTCCTTCAGTTTGTCTGTTCTGTGATCAATATCACAGTCTAGACCTGGATGACTGCAGAATCGGATTGCAGCTTAATTTCCCATAAGAGTAGCTAGACCTGCTGAAACAGCTTGAATATGCAGCACTGAAAAAGCAGGCTGAGCGACAAATGTCCTCACACCATATTGGGAAGCCCAATTAGCACAGCAGAGTGCATCTTGCTGTGTTATTTTTCTCCCCATTGCATTTTGAAAGGATTAAACTCTGGGACAGTCATTGCCAAGTAAAGGAAAATAACATTGGCATCCACTAAAATAATACTAAGGAAACTGTAGAGGTGCATGTGTGTTTTTTTGTTTGTTTGTTTGTTTGTTCGGGTTTTTTTGAGTTTTGTTTGTGTTTTTGTGGGGGTTTTTTGGTTTTTTTTAAATTTTTCAGTTTATGTAAAGTTTGCCTTAAACACTTGAGAATAAACTGGCAGTATGTTAAACACTTAGTGTCCACTAAAGACTTTAACCTAATTTCTTGGTAGATTAAACTAGGGCAGTGGAAAGAATTACCTTCCCTACCAATCCTTGTCACAACTGCTGTCAGATGACATTGTCCCCACAGTGTGGTTTGGAGATGCATCTGATCTAAAAAGTTTAGAGCCTGCAGGCAAAGAGCACTGATGAGAACAGTAAGCTCATTATTAGGTTTGACTGCATGCACTGGCTAATGAGGATGGGTAACTTCATTTTAGGTGGCATCTGCTTTCTCTAAGGCCAGCAGTGTCCCTCTCTGAGTTGCCTGTGCACTGAAAGCCTGTCTCCTGAAAGGGTTCACTTTGAGGCTCAGCTTAGATCAAGCCCAACTTTAAAATGATAGGCTGTAATTTGCAGTGTTTTACAGACGTTTCATGGTTACATCCCTGTTGCACAAGTGCCAGCTCTGGTAGAGAATCAGAAGGTAAAAATTGCATCCATGGTCAAAATTGAAGCCACTGGTATACCTGAATCAATATCTTCAGGTTCCCAGGGACAGCTCTTGGTCTGGTTTGCTGGATGAAGTGAACTTGTTCCTCTGGAGAGGTTTTGTTGGATGAAGGGAAGGTATCAGAAAGCTCTTTTCCCTGGACAAACAGCCAGGAAGGGAAGACGAAGAGAGAAGTGTGTCAGAGGGTATGCTTAGATGACTCACCTCCATTAGGTAATGCCTAAACTTCCATCAGCAGCAAATACAAGCCAAAGTAACCTCAGGATACATTCACCCAGCAGATTGGACTGCACATCTTATTCCACCATGTGCACTCTTGGTTAAACTAATTTCTAGATCTCAGTTTTCTGTTCTTGTGCCAGCTACCTCCACTGAAGTTAACAAGGAACCTGCATACTACTTTAGTTTTTATGACGAGATTTAACTAATTCAGCTATGGAGGTGTCAGTGAAAACAAGAAAAAATAAAGAGAATAGATGGGAGGAAGGAAGGGAAGTCTTGAAGACAAAGGGCTTAGATACCTCCCAGTTGGGGATCACTCATACAATGGGCCATTAAAATTTAGCTGAGTCGAGTATATTGTTTTTAATTTGTATTCCCATAACATACTCTGTTAAGGAGGGTGTATGCAGCAAATGCATATTAATGATGCTACACATTTGCATATTATAGATCCATAATACCAAGGGTGTAGTAAAAATCTTTATGAAAAGTGGTGACTATGCAGCAGTCAATTTTCTCTATATCTCAACCATTTTAATGCTTTTTTTTTTTTTTTTTGCACACACACAGACACACAAAACCCTTACAACTGATAGCAATACTACATTAAGGGACTAATGACCTGCAAAATTCCATTTATAAAAGATGAAGAAATGTTAGATTTATATAGGGAATCATCGACTTATCTCTTCCTCTGGAAGATTTCCAGTTCTTTGTTCCTTTGTTCTAAAATTTTTAA